GCCCACATCAGTAAGGGTTAGATTACAGTCAGCCTGGGAGAAGTTAAAAAGGGGATTTTCCTTTAAAGAAGAGGTTATTGAAGACAGTTGCCTGTCCTTCGTGGGCAAGATTAGGAATTTACCAGTTGCCTAAAAGCTTGGAATCATTTGCTTAACTTTACTGAAGACAAGAGAAGTTTCTGTTTGATTGTTCATTAATAAAAGACTTTGTTGTACTTCTCAAGCCATCTAAAGACTGTTTGTGGTGGAAACCTCTGAGAACTTCTCTTTAGGCCCCCTGGCTTCCCGCTGGGCAAAGGTTGCACATCCTGTTCTAAAGACAATTATTTACAGGCCCAGCGCGACAGAACAGTAGTTTGGGGGGGGGGATGTTGAATGCTCTCATTAAGGAGGCCAGACTTGATGGAGGTGGTTGACAAGGGCGGAGCTGCAGGCTATTGAAGGCTCTTTGCTTCAGCGTGAGCTAGGAGGCAGGTTTCAACCCCCCCCCCCCCCCCGAAAATTTCAACCCCTCCCGAAATTTTTTTCTGGCTACGGCCCTGGATTCACCTATCCCATAATGTTACCTGGTGCAGCCCACACTATCTGCATCTCCTAGTGATACCACTTTACTAATATTTTATATGCCTGAGTGTTGGGTTTCATCCCTCACTGCACAAGTCTCTAGCCCTCAATGAGTAGTTATCCTAGATAGATTAGAATAAGGGGTTCCTTCTCCTAAATTCCCTGTGCATGCGTAACTCAAGAAGGTGCTCAGAAGGGGGGTTTGTCTTGCCCATCCTGCATGCCACTATCTGCTCCCCTTTTGAATACTTAGCAATGTGATCTCTTCAGGGAAGATGTCATTTCCTCTTTAAGGGCATTTTTATGCGGTCTGTAAGGAGGCATCTTGCCATTGTCCAGGCAAGATATAGTAGACATGGCTATTTTGTTATTCCCCCCCCCCTTTTCCCCCTTAGAAGATAGCTCAGTGAAGCTAGTTATCTCCAAAAACCTTTCCTATCCAGAATGGATTTATTTTATCTTTAATAAACATATTATTTTTACAGCCTATGAAGTTGTGGATCTGCAATCCTGTTCCATCCTGTTGAATGGAAACCATTCCTTGCTCTTTACACGTAAGCTTCTGCTGGTTATGAACTGTGCTTCTGGCACTCTGCTATATTTTTGTGGAATCACCCCAAGTGAGGGTTATTTTTGAGCTTAACAGCCCTTGATTCCCAACACTGAGTATTTTCTCTAATACTGGGAAGGTAATCAATCTTATTCATGTCCAATCAGACAGAAAATACATTGAGTGCTGTAAGAATCATGCCCACGCAAGATGTTTATGAATACAACCTTAAAGAATCGACTATCTAGTCATCCTTAATTTACTGGATGTATGTGAATGCTGTTATGTGAGCATGGCCGAGCTTGATCAACATCACTGCACCAATTCCAAGACTACTGCAGTCAGGAGGAGGGAGAAATGACACCCACAGCCTCTTCTCATACCAGTTCAGATTCATCCACTCTTGGAATGCAGTTAACATTGCTGCTGGAATAACTGGTGGCTTCTGATTCTGTTGAGTAAATCTGGATTTTAGTCCAAACTTTAAAAAAGCTATCCAAGGTGCCCAACCCTGTTCCCAATCAAGTTTCAGCATTTTGGATAGTTTGATTTAAGTTCAAGCTAAAAAGAGATCAGATTTGCCAGACCTCTGAAAAGAGAAAAACCAGACATCACAAGGCTCAACAAGCAACTAAGAATGACAAAAAGTCCTACATATTAGGACAGCTAGCTACATACACTAGCTGTACCCGCCACAACATTGCTG